CTATGAGCAAGCAGTTTATGCTAGACCGGATGCGGTCGTGCGTAACGGACTCACCTATGTCGCTAGTGGTGGTCTCCTTTGGACATATAACAAAGATCATGATGCTATTCAGTCCTGAATTCCTTCACAAAAGCAACTCAAAGCGACGAATATCCTATCTAGTACTACAAAACTAATGCAGCCGCCCAACGTTTAATTTTTCTAGCCGTTCAAAATGCACTTCTGTCTTCTCAAAATTTCATACCCGATAGCTTATGATCTCAACTTTGTGTATATAATATTTGATTTATTGTACTTCGTGTACAGAATACTCGCCACGACTCGATACTCGATTCTTCGCTTTTTATCAAATGCTAACTTTCAAGTGTGGGCTGTGAGATTCAGGAGATTTTTATCCAACAATCAGTTGCAGTCTTGGAAAGCGATGAAGTGTGACTAGATATTTTTATTACCTTGGTGAAAACTTATTCGTTTCAAATATTTCGCGCTACCATACCTCTCCAATAGCAGATAATGGTTCCTCTCATTGTGAATGTAGAGTATGCGAAAGGGCAAAGAAAGGGGGTCCATTGGATAGTATGAATACGAATCGAATCACCTACGTAATGAAAATGTGGAAGCGATAAAGTTGACGTTAAACGTTGCAAGTCCTCAAGGGCAACAACTCCAAAGTGCTGGCGAAAAAACTCGCAGAACTTGCCGAAGTCTAGTCTCTACAAGTCTCAATCCACAATTTCATTCATGTAGCGTTATGCTTTTCATTGTTTCGAGCCACGGCCAGAAGTACACCTATGTCAATATTTTGAGTGTTTGTTGAAGTCAAACGTTCATGCAAACCTCTCCCGCCCACAGTTAACAAATTTAGAACGCAGGCTTGAAGTCAAACTCGAAAAAAGTCCGCAATATAACTCTCAGTTTGAAAGGGCTTTTCAACTTGGGTTACTTCTTTTGTATGCATTTAATTTTCTCTAACAGTTGTGGCATTGCAGGACCTCAGAGAGAAACCTAAACATGACAAGAATGAGGTTACTCAGGGCTCTTCTTTAGAGAGAATTCGTGACCGCAAAGCTGGAGTTTTTGCGAGGGTTTGGAATGTTTTTGACCCGTCCTGGCACGTGCACTTTATTTCACACCAATCCTCGTTAGGATACTCGGCTCCTTGCTTCCCGAGAGTAGCGAACACCGCTCTTCATGGAGACCGTTTCGAACCTATTTGTGCTCCCTCGGATGTCAGTGCTCATTTGGTCAGATATAAAAAGAAGACTTACCGGGCACTCGTTCTGGAGCAACACTTTCCTAGAGGCGACACTTTTTTGTATTGGTCTTTGCACTGGAAAGCCGTTTAACGTATCCAATTTTGTAGAAACTTGTGATTCATTTGTTCAACATCGCTTGTGCTCAATCCTAACGCCTAAATTTACCGGCACAAGGCAGATGAAAGGAAAACAGTTGACTCATTGTTCATAGGCATTATATTCGATCGATTGGTCACTTTAACCATCTGATAGCGGCACCTATTTTAAATATTTAATTGTATACGTATTCGATGACATCGGTGACATTTTAAGAGAAGCGATTTGTGGGTGTATGACAGACCGAAGAAAACCTTCATCCCTATCGTTCCATTCGCATGCATTTCGACAGATGAGGGAGTCTTGTAAGTGAGCTCCTGTGATGTCACGCTCATGACAACAAATTCGCCACCTTAGCCCTTTAAAACCTTGTAACTGTTCGTATGTTGGATTTGTGTTCTGGTACCCCTTGCGGTGACTCAAAACCCTAACTGGCACGTACTGAACCAAACGCCTTGTGCTGGCGGTTGAGGCTCTTTCTGTGGAACAAACGTGGAGGTTCCTCGTGCAGTCTCCCACCCACGCGCAGTGAATCTATGCGTCACAGAAGACTCCAGCGAACGTTCTAAAAATTTGGACACTGAAGTTCTGCGAAAGTGAAAAAGACATGAGCCTCGGTGGCTGCTTTCATGAGGTGACCTTTTGATGTGGTGGTCAACTCTAGATGAATGTTTTCCGAAACGACGGATTATTGGGTACACGTCATTGGGTACACGTCGATTGATTTTCCAGGGGTGCGAGAACTTTGAACTATTGAGGTCACTCTCCAGTTTTTTGTTACTCTCTTCATTTATCTTTCATTCACTCGCCTAATATGGTTGTAAAGCTACCATAATGGAATTTTCTTAGTTCAGTGAGGGTTCTTGAAGTGGCAAAATTTTAGCACTACTGGTAAGTTTTTAGGCGAGTAATTTTCGTTTACGGGTGAAATATGAGATGTAGAGCAAGCAAAACACCTGCTCAGCCGCGCAACTATAGAACTTTTAATTACAGTTTCATGAACTTTGTTCATTTTGCAACACAACTCTTATATTCAGGGTTCTCTCTCACTGAAATATCTCCAACCATTTGGTAACGAGGAGGCGTGACGCGACCCCCAAGTGCGGATAGGGGAGGAAAACACGAGACAAAAGACACCGGTACTTGCCCAAAGACGCAAGTGGATTCAGGACATGGACTCCCTGCTTCTGCTGTGCTGGTCGATTTTTATTAGAGTGTCCGGAGGGCTTTGAAAAAATTTTGCTTCTCAAACTTGAAAGCATGTTGCTCGCGAGAGTGCTGAAGAAGGATTATAGGTTTGATAGCAGGGAAAAGAGCATTATTGATAGATCAATACTATGACTGATTGGTATTTGTCGTGGTCGTTCGGAGTAAGTAATCGTCGATCGAACGATGTGTCATCGATGCGAGTGCCGGAGCCCTCTGCTTCTCCATCACGGAACTAATCACTTCGTCACTCAGGCTCGGAATAAGATATGGTGACTGACTGACAGCAGTGACCCCCTCTTCTCACCTCCATAAGGGCGCGATCGCTTCCTCTGAGAAGAGAATAGCATAGATATTGTCGAAGCATCCTTTATCCTCAAATACCGACTCTGATCTGGCCTCTCGTCAGAGCAATCCTCCTCAAAGTCTCAGGAAATGGAAGAGACTATCTCTACTCCATAATCCATCATTCACGACGTTCTACGCAGAAGTCTCTTTTAAAGCAGAACTCTTTGCGAATATCGCCCACTCCTTGGCTAGGCAGGAGCTCGAGTGCGAGTCAGTGTGTGTGTGTGTGTGTGTGTGTGTGTGTGTGTGTGTATGTGTATGTGTATGTGTATGTGTATGTGTATGTGTGTGTGTGTGTGTGTGTGACAGGTCAACCAACAACTAGACCTAAGGCTACACTCTTTACTAGACAACTGACTTCTAGCCTGACAACTTCGCAGATGGATAAATTTTGACAAGGAATTAGAATTCACATGCTGCCACGGGAAATTATGAAAACAATGTCATGCTGTCAATGTATGTGTATGTGTATGTGTATGTGTATGTGTATGTGTATGTGTATGT